ACAGACAGACAGACAGACAGACAAATGAGCCACATGCTGTTAATAGCCTGGCCAGCGCACAATGCGTTGTGAAGATGCCTGTTGCCATCTGAGCTGTTACGAGGAGCGCAGAAGCAATTCTTTGGTGACGGATGTGAAGGACGCATTTGTGCATATTAGTTGGTGAGACCTTGGCATACACTCTTACAGAAGCTGTCTGTGTGTTAGCATGTCTCCTGCCAAAGGACAACCGCTCCTGTCAACCGCTGCGCCGAATTCCGGACTTCTCCGTGCCCCTCCAGGACGAGTACAGCAGCAGATGCCACGATCATTTCCTCAGCGTCGCCTAGTTTTTGTTGAGGACTGCCCGTGCCAAGCGGAGGCTCAGACGCAACTCGCTCCGGGAGGCCATGGGAGAAAAGACGGCGGGGGAGTCCGGCAATGGCTCGCAAGAATTCACAAGATGCCTCAAGGGAATACCAAGGATATCGGGGTTTCCGGTAACTCGGGGTCCCCTTTGTGTGTGGGGGTCCTTGCAAATCTTACAACAAGGGTTCTAGTATTTTGGGGTCTAGAGGGGGGTCCCCCTATTTATGAAACCTACCATGTAGAAGTTTCTGGAAAGAACGTACGAGACGTTGTCAATGGATGTTGTAGAGATCTTGCACAGGCTGTGGGTTTGTTACCTGCGCATGCTGAGTTGGGCAGCAGGGAATGGATCCCAGTATCCCGCAGAATAATCCAAGAATCCTATCCTGAATCCCAAAAATTATGTAAAATAGTTGCTTTTTGGCAGTTTTTAGGTGTTTTGGGCGTTTATGTTGCCTACTTTTGGGTCCAGGCTGTAATGATTCTTGTAAGATTCCTTGCAATGTTCATTACTTTCTCCACTCAGCCCAGACACTCGAATCAGCAAGGCCATCTCTCTGTTTTTTCCCTACCAGGCCTAAAACCCCAACGAGCTATAGTCTTAACTCCTTGAGGGGTGTTTATATAGGGAGTTCTAGAGAGTACTATTATGGGGGTTATTAAGGGGGATGGAGTTTAGACCATAGCTCGATGACTTTCCTCAACGGGGCACCAAGCCATTCTTCGCAGGCGTCCCAGCGTGGGGTCCCGGCAGGAGGTCCTTGCCCGGGCGAAGCGAGCGGGGCTGCCTGTGAAGCTGCGCGTGCCCGAGGACCCTCGTCGAGAACAGAACGCCTTCTTGTACAGTAGCAGTTTGGGGTCTAGGAGTTGGGCTTAGAGCTTTGTTAACCAAAGCTGGTATGGTATGTACCCCTGGGTTGAGCTTGCTAGTAGTCTCACGGACCGCAAGCTCTAGTGTTTCCCAATGAACCTTGTCGTCCGCATGTTTCCCCTAGGGGATCCCCATGGTGTCCCCTTTGTTTTCCTCTTTGTCATCTCTGCAATTCTGCAAATTATTTTGTGACTGCTTTACTCATCTGTCTTTACTTATGGTGCGGTGGGGCATAACTCCTCGTATGTTTTTTGTCACTTGTAGCGCATCTGGCGCATGCAGCAGGGAACAAATCCTTGAAAGGCTTCGAACGGTTTCATGCCTCCAGGATGTCTGTACGGCTGCGATGTACAAGTTCTGATGTTTCAGGAGGCCACCAGCCAGCAAATGCTGACGGTCGATGGCTTTCTGCCGTCACTTGTTTGCACGGCGGACGTATAGCACAATGTCGGGTGACATTCGCTGAGCATGGGATGTAAATAGAGGTCGCCTCGGCACTGATTGTGTCTTAACCCATCTTGGCCCATCTACCTCAAACCCGTGCAGAACTAAGCCCAGTTCCATTTCATGTTGCATGTTCTTGTCCATTTGATTCTCCATCATTGAGATAATATTCCCCAAAAGCCTAAAACCTAAATGTCCCCGTGCCCTAAATCCTACACAACTGTACCATCCCACACTTTAATCCAAGCGCAATCCCTGCGTCTGTGTCCGTGAATCCTGTATACTCCCGGTTTTACTACAGCCAGCTGGCTGCAAGCATTTTCTCAGTGACGTAGTGCGGATGATGTAAAGATTGTTGCAAGCTTGCTGATCAGGTTCCTCCAAACTCCAGCAAAAGTGCAGGACGCGTGCTTTGCCTTGCTGTTGGATGCTGTGGCTGTGGACTCTGATTTGCTGTGTTCAGTGAGGCTGCCTGGCACAGCTTGCAAACCAGGAGGTCTGAGGTACTGTAAGCAGGCTCAGGAGCCCTGTAAATGGTCAGAGCTTTCATATAGTCCCCCTTAAGTAGATAGAATATAGGGTTAATGGAAAAGAAAATGGAAACTGCTATAATGGGTTATATAGGGATTATATAGGGTTATATTGGGGTAATATTGGGATAATGGAAAAGAAAATGGAAACTGCTATAGTATATTGGGGTGATATGCCAAGAAGTTTCAAGCGATGTCCCTTGAGGAGTGCCGCCCCCGAGCCCGGGAGCTCCTGGCAGTGAACGTGGCGCGCAGCACCCCAACAACTGTCCCCGCGCGCTGACACATGGCCGCTGCTTGGCCTCAGAGCTTGCAAGGATGGAGGATGCAAACTAATGAGTCACTTCCCCCTAACATTAATCGCCCAAATATGTATATATATATATAGATATACATATATTTAGGGGGGGGCGGGGGGGAGCTCTTTAATATTAGGGGGAAAAGATTACCATGGTGTGCAGTCGTTCCTTTAAATGTGTGTAGACGTTTCCCCACTTGCTTTTCGATGAACAGCTAGTGCGATTTATCTTGGATCAGAGTGTTGTGAGCTAGGCCTGTTAGGGATAATGGAAAATAAAATGGAAACTCCTACTATATGGGGATTTCATAAGGGTTGTTATAGGGATAATGGAAAGTAAAATGGAAACTACAATTACAAAGAGTCGTTGCTTGCCTTTTTGGTGCAGCTGATGTTGTGCCCACCTGGGGGATAACTCGGCTTGTATCCGCAAATCCCGAGCCTGAGCCCTAACCGCCTGACAGTATGTCTGTATGTCGGGCCCCAACAACCCAACCAAACCCTAAACCTGAATAGTAGTTTCCACCCTTACATACCTCTCTGAAGCCTCTGAGAACCCTATTCCTGGCCTAAGGCTGGACAGAATTTATTTCGCATGGCAATGCTTCGAATTTATCGAATCTCGGTCTCGGCATGTACAGATGGCGTGTGCAGAGCATCCGATGAGATGTCTCTTACACTCACTTTCGCCGCTGTGGCCCTGAATGTTTGCATGCCGGCCACTGACATGGAAACGTAGGCTGAGATTTACAGCAGCCTTGTGGGCACGACTTACATGGCCCCAACACAGAACTTCAGCTCATGTCATCTCTTGAGTCCTCCAGATTTGTATCTCTCATTAATTATGGTGCCAACACAGTGCCGACCGTGTCAGCTACATTTTTGATAGTTGCATGTACTAGGCAAGTTATGTTCTACAGAGCATGCTTGCTGTGAATTGCCTACGGCTGAAGCTCGAAAGATGTACTGGAGTACCTGCTTCCACAAGACTTCTCCAGCACATGGCTCTTGTGCATTCTTTTGTACTGTCGGGGCTTTAGCCAGCATCTGAAGTGCTGCACAGACCTTGCTTGCGAGAGTTCATGACAAGACACCAAAAAAAGCAGATTGCAGCCCAGATTTCCCTTATGCTGTGGCAGTGTCCATGTGGGGGCTTCTCAAAATTAGTGGTACCATTTTTGGGGGTCCCAATAAGAAGGCTTATAGTATTTTGGGATCTATATTGGGATCCCCCTACTTAGGGAAACTACCA